TCAGTTTTTGCTTCTTGTTGAGGCAGAACCCTGACGACTTGGTTCAGTGCATGGCTTAGAGACGGGCCTTCAGCTTGAAACCCCTCTGAATGAATTGTCAAAAGCTTGATGCCTAGGCTTTTGATGCAGAAGGTCGCGCCTCTCTTTACTAAGAAAGGTTTAGAATTCAAAGTGGAGTATGTCACATCGATCCGAGACTGGCAAGGAACCCTGCCCAACATCAGCACCCTGCACGGTGCCTATCGGCGGCGCACCATCAAGGACCAAGATGTCATTCCACATAGTTTCACCTTCATCCGAAGGGAGTGTGCATGGATGCACTGCAAGACTGTTTCTTTTTCTCCTGTGCTCTTGCTTGTTTACCCCAGGCCCAACTATGTTCTGTTTCACTCACTTTCTGTTTGAAAGCTGCAGTGTTCAGGTATGCCTTCGACTTTGTTGGAGAGGGCTGAGGAACGGCTCCCATCATGGTATGTGAAGACTCCATCGGACACGTTTGTTCTGGTCAAAGCATATGTGAGCGACGATCAACTATGTCAACCTCCACTTTTGGTTTTACCTGGTTGTAAAATCCAAGATGTCAGCCGTGCATTGCACAAGCTTGCGCAAACAACTGCCCCATGTTTCTTGTCCTGTGAGGGTTTTTGTTTTTTGTTAAGCTTCAATGTGCTCAGAAACGCTGGTGTAGTTTGTATGTCTCTGTCACTGAGGCCTACAGGTGTCCATGTCTGAAGAGAGACAGCAGGAACTCAATGAGTTAGCTGAGTACTTGTCTGCAAATTTCCCCCAGTATATGAAAGGGGTGCACTTGTTGCAACTTGCTGGAAAGGTTGCACTGACACGTACTGTGCCCATGAATTTGGGATATATTTTGGCCGGTCCGTCGCCTGCTGTGCAACGGGGCCATGCACAGCTCCATGATCCGGAGCCTCACAATGTTCGCAGGCTCCAAGTCCGATTCCACAGGTACTATTGAAACGCTGTAGAAAATATAGGACCCGTTTCTCACAATGCACTGCAACTACCATTTCTCAATGAGTGTTTTGATGTGTTTTTGTGTCTTTTTCGCAGCCTTTTTGACCTGTGAAGTCCTTCCGCCCTTCGTCTCCCAAGAAGGAAATGGAGGCTGTCAAGGAGTGCTTGCTTTGTTTCTGGGAAACCAGCCAGCAACCCAAAAAAAATGGCCAGATCCTGCCCTCGCCCCCTGTCTGCACAGGAAGAAGAACTGTTTGGCGCCTCTGACTCGGAGAAGGTGCCGTGGAAGAAGCGGTTGATCCTGGCAATGGAAGAGGCGAAACAAAGAACAAAACCTGTGCTGTTTGTCATTTGCTTTTTTAAACCCATTATGTTTGAGGGAACATTTTTACCAACCAGCAAGTTCTCCAGGTAACTGCAAAGCAGAATCTTGGGGAGTTCATCCATGAGCGCTACAACCAGGATGAGTCCAGCCAGCGCCGGTTTACAAAGGACAGGTATAAAAAGTAATGTCATTTTCCCTGGACTGTTGAACATGGTAATCTTCAACTCCTGGTTCAGTCCAGGTGATGCTGGACTTCCTAGCGGTTGACAAAGTGGCTGCAAAATTGCCAACACCGTCGGGGCCAATTCTCAGTAGGGTTCCTGCTTCGACCAGAAAGAATGTGTACCTCCACCCATGGCACTTGTCCATGTCACAGGGTGCCAAATATGGCACTAATGGGAAATGGCCATCTACAGTTGCCATCCGTGCCCACTTCCCTTTGATTGTGGGTCGAGGATATGAATCTGAGAGGGAGGCTCTTGAGATCAAGTTTGAACCCGGCCTTGAGGGAAAGGAGATCCAGCTCTTTCAAACGGGCTACATCGATGGGCATGCGAAGGGTGTGATGGTTCAAGGAGTTTTTGCACTCCTTGATTACCTAGAGCCCCAGCTAATTGTTGATGTGAACATACCCCAGTGTTGCCGATGTTGTTAAGGAAACTTGGTGTGACCCACATTGACACTTTTTTCCAACTTAGGGGGCAACACCGCACGATATCGAATGTGATGATGAGATGTGTGAGCTTCTTGCAACGCTAAAGTTCTTACGCAGCAACTATGTGCACTTCAAACTGCCGGAGCAGTGTGTGTATGAAGCCTTGAGTACAGAACTGAGACCGTTGGTGGGAAAGAAACTGTCCAACCGTCCAACACTTGAAAAAAAACTGTTTTTTGTTTTTTGGCAAGGTTTGGCGAACAGAACAGCTGAGAAAGCCAAACCGGGACCTCTTGAACTCACCCTCTTCTTCAAGGACACCTATGATTGGTTCCAAAATCTGCAGTATGAAAGCAGGTGTTTGTTCAAAAGCTCAGGTAGTTAGGGCCCAACTTGTCTCCAGGAAGCGTGCAGGGTAAAGCGCCTCCACAGCAGCAAGACGTCTTCTGTTCGAGACCTGCTGGACAGCGCCATTGCAGAGTTCAACAAGCAAACACATACCAAGGCAACTTCACTGTATAGGGGTCAAGCTGTGGTAGGGGGTTCTCTCCAAAAAAGATTTGTGCTGCCTAGTGGACTGGAGGCGTCCAAAATCAAAGATGACTTGAAGAAGGTCATTTATGGAGTTCTTCGGGCGCCTGAAGAATTGTTGGAGCTGATGAAACGCTCTGCAGACCTGTACAAGTGGGAGCATGGAGGCTGGAACAGCAAGGTTGTTTGTTGTAACTGCACTGTGCTTAAATATGAACAGTATGGGGTGAGCATGTCAAAAGACCCCTGAATATGTTGTTTTTGATCCACACCGGCCGTGACAATGTCCCCTGACAGCCTGGACCCTCGACATCTTGGCTGATGACTTTTATGTTCCTGGCCATGTGCTCTCCAGCCAGACTGTTCCTGACGGGTGGTGGCGAAACACCAAGGTGCCTATACATGTTGGTTCTTTCCCCAAAATGTCAATGGAGTTCAG